CGGAGGTGGGGGCTTTGGAGGACAAGACCAAGAGGAGCTCTCTTAGGAGGTGCTAGGCACTTCCCATCGGCCTGAGGAGCTGGTTCCCTCCCAAGAAGCTTGATCTCGAGAAGGCCCAGGGCGCTTGTTCGCTATCTGCCACGGGTGGACAGAAGGCTGCACTATGAGGACTGCACTTCACTAGACCCAAAATCTGGTGCCTTGAACTTGACTCTAGCCCTCAAGGCTGTGAACAATACACTGTGTTGTGCATAAAGGACTCTAAGTGCCAGGTTACCTGCTCCAGCAGCCTGCACAGACTGAGCAGGTAAAATGATGCTTGTGAGTCCTGCAGTTTTCTGTTCTGCAAGGAGCTGCTGTTGAGTGGAGGGAGTCACCTCCTGCTGTCTCCAGAGAGAATGCCCCTGACTTGCACAAAAGGCAGCAGCTTGGCCTGTCCCTGGGCTGGGACTGAAGTCTGTCCCAGTCACCTGTCCTCACTCTCCATGTTCCAGACTGCTGCCTTAACTCCTCACCTCACTCTTCTCTTTATGCTCAGCTCTTCCCACCTCGGGGCACTTGCTGCCTCTGCAGGGGTCCCGCCTGCCCTCTTCCCCCTCTGACCCAGATCCTTCTACGGACAGGGCTCCTCAGACACTTTCCAAAAGCCTCCCCCACTAACATTCTCGAGTGCCCTCTTGCATGCCCATGACATTGGCCTCCTTTGTGAATCCACTACAAAGTCCACCTCCCACAGGGCAGGTAGCAGGCTGCCTCTGGAACCCCTGAATCTGCAGCAACCATCAAAGTATGTGGCCTTGCACAGGTGCCCAGGACAAGCTGGCCGACTTAATTAATGAACGGAACTTTTCATGTTGTGCAGCTGAAGACCCCCATCTGATGCCATGTCAAGAACACAGTAGGTGCTCAGGGCCTGGCTGATGGGTACGAATAGACCTCACAGTGTTCAGGGTCTTGTGAGCTCCTGGTCATGTGGATTGCTGGTGTGAGCATTTCTGGAAAAATTTTCTCAATAATCTGGAAACTGCATTGAGAAGAGGCTGTGTCAGTTATGCTGGCCGCTGAGAGCACAGTTGTTAAAATAATAATATTAATAATAATGAATAATAACTAGTATCTATTATGATCAATGTAGTTTGAGACTTCTTCCACAATTCTGAAACTATTTTTTGTGGAGTTACATTTTTAAAAAGAAAAACAACAACATAGTTGCAAAGCTTTAGCAGGATGTGTGCTACCTGCTTCCTCTACCCTCTTGTTCTTGACTTCTCAAGACCCAATGCATTTTAAACTAATGACATACTGGGAAGAGAAATTGCTTCTGCTCGGAAGGAATTATCCTGATCAGAAGGCTGGAGAATAATTAGAATAACTATTAGATCAATTCAAAGAATAATAACAGTTAGAATAATTAGAGAAACAATACAGAATGATTTAATTTAGGTGGGAAAATTAGGAGTTGAAGGTTTAGTGTTTCTCTATTAAGCATTATTGTTTAGGAATTGTTCTACTTATGTGTAACAACTTTTTAGCACTGGGAGAAAAAAAATTAAATCCACTAGTGTAATTTAAAGGCGTCCAATTAACTCAGAGAGCAGTTTGTAGCTTTGTTTACTTGCTAATAACTCTATTCAGCTGTTGGGTCATTTTTGGCTGAAGACACTTAATCACATTGTGAGTGGGCTTATCAACATACATTAGGAATGCACTACCCGATTGTGCAGCAGAGGAATTGCTGCTAATTTAGGTATACATTCAACATTACATATGCAGCGCTGCCACAAATGTATATATCTTGTTTCCCTGTGTTTCAAAATGAGATGGGCTCTTTCTGTGGTATAAAGACTGAGAAGACATAACTTGGGGAGACAGGTGAAGATGACATCCCCGGTGTCTGGTTGCTAACACCGAGACTGTGTCTAATAATCATTTTAGTGAGCTTTTTTTGCCAATGTGATGAAAAGATCTGAGAAGAACAATTTTAGAGGAGGAGGGCTCATGGCATCAGTGGTCTCTGTCCATAGCTTTGGGCCTGAGATGACACAGGACATCATGGTAGAAGGGTATGGTAGAGAAAATGAGGAGAGAGGGAAAGAGAGAGAGAAAGAGAGAGGGAGAGAGAGCTCCCTTCATTATAGATAAAATATACACCCCAAAGGCATATCTCCAGTAGCTCACCTCCTCCAGCCACACCCTACCTTAATACAGTTATCTCTCAGTTAATGGCTATGAGCATATTTAGGCATTGATTAGGTTAAGGCCCTAATAACCCAATTATTTCACCTCTATACTTTTTTGCATTGTTTTACACATGAGCACTGGAGGAACAGCTCCTACCTAAATTATAACATTAACATTAGTGCTATTCCTGGATTTCCCCTTCCTCTGAGAGGGCTAAAGAGTGATTGGGGCACATCAAGTCCATGGAATAGAGAGACCACTCCTGAGTAATAGTCATAGCTCAGTCAAATAACATCAAATCTCACTCCACACACAATCTAGACCCACCCAGCCCCAACAATACTTCAACACATAGAACTGGGGAGACAAAAACCCCAAACCCTCAACCAGACCCCAAGGAGGAACAACCTGTGGAATCTGAGCTGTCCACTCCTGGACATAAACTCATACATCAGAGAGAGAGAGAGAGAGAGAGAGAGAGAGAGAGAGAGAGAGAGAGAGAGAAATTCCAGAACAAAGAAGATAACTACATTCAAAAGG